GGGAAGAGTCAGAAATCTTAAATAAATAAATAAATAAATAAATAAATAAATAAATAAATAAAAAGAAAACTCAATGCTGAAGGAGTTGAGCTGTAAAGGAAGCGTCCAGTTACCTAGCAGAGTATGGGTTTAACAGAGTTGTGGTGGGATCGCATTCCACTCCTCCAGCCAATAGCATTTAAGATATGGTGCTGTGGGTGCTCCTTCTGCTCTTTCAGCCGATAGCCTTTAAGATACCAACCCACTTAGGCGTGGTCTTTTATACTATAAAGCAGCTGTAAAGGGTGAGCTGGCGCTCTTGTTATGGCTCTTGCTTTCTGCTGCTAGACTCTGTTCCAGTTCCCCCTTTTGTGCAGAAGACAGTTATCTAGGACAGTGATCTGTAAGTCTCCCCTAGATAAATAACCCTTATTATTCATAATTCTGAACTAGCGTGGGATTATTTTGTGACTTCTGCCATCACAGGCTTTCACAGGCAGTGAAGTAGCTGTTGTGTCTTCTATCCACATCCATTAATTACCTACACTTGACCCATCATTAACGCTTCCTTCCATGTGAAAATAATGCCTACAAATTTTGCTCCAGTGTCTTGCTTCAGCTCTTTCCGGGAACTGGTCTTGGATGTTCCCCTACTAAATTGTGCTGCTCAGGTCCTAAGCCCACTGCTGCCCAGACTTCCCAGGTTGTGTGTGAGAGACCTGCTTATGCTATCCAGTTTTGGATTCTGATTGTATTATCTCCTCTGGTGAGTATTCATTTGGACCCATGACTCTTAGGTAGCTTCAGACCTACCCCATCAGTGATAGAAACTGTGTGTGCCTGCCTAATATACATAGAGCAGACAGGCCCCAAATAACTTAAAACATGTTTGTTTGGGCTACATTTAAAGCAACTGAGTATAGACTGTGAGTTTAGTATCTGGAACCTAAGCTCACGGCCCTAAGGCTCTGTGAACCACTAAACAACCAGCTACATACATAGGGGTCACCTTCAATCTATTTATGTATCAGTGAAACAAAGAAAATGCCTCTTGTTTCCTTACATTCTTTGTAGAAAGAGTTGTCCCTCGTTCTAAAAAGAAAAAAAAAAACAAAAGCAGAGAAAACACCATTCAAGGACAGGGATTCTCTACAAACAGGAGGGACCATTCCTGGTGAGGGAATCCTGATGACCACGGTAAGGGGATTCAGGCTTTCTGCTGTCTGTTTGCCCTGAGTAAAACTGACTTTTCCGTGGGCTGTTTAATCCAGAATCCCAGATTTGTATGAGTCTTTTTAGAAAGTAAGAATCCCCTCTTCCTCGGCTAGCATCCTTTTTTAAGATTCATTTTTAATTATGTGTGAATGAGGGCAGTTGTTGGAGGAGACCAGAGGTGGTGTATCTCTAGAGCTGCAGTGACTGGCAGCTGCCCTAGTGGTGCTGGGAACTGAGCGTGAATCATCTGTAAGAACCCTCTTTCCATCCTCCAGTGCGCTTCATTCTATCACACCTGTTAGCAGGAAGCAGCCATAAGCTGTCCAGTGGCAAGAAGGTCTGGTGATACAGAGTGTGCGCGTTGTCCAAGGAAGAGAGTGAACTGCCGAGAAAGAAGGGGAAATTGAGAGAGAGAGAGAGAGAGAGAGAGAGAGAGAGAGAGAGAGAGAGGAGACTAAAAAATGTCTAGGGCTGTAGGAGTGGCTTGTTGCTATTACAGAGGACCCAGTTTTCCTGCCCAATGCCCATATGGTGTCTCACAACCATTCATAACTCCAGTTAGGGGATCTGATGCCCTCCTCTGGCCTTTGAATGAGCCAGAAACACATGTAGTGCCTATACACATATGTACACACATTTTCATACATACATCATATATGTATATATGTGATACATATGTCACTGGGGGTGAACTTTGGGGTTTCAGAAGTCTATACCATTCCAAACAGTTAGCTTTCTTTTTCTCTGTCTTGTAATTGTTCTCTCAACGGGTAATATCTCAGGTACTGCTCAGCGCATGCCTGTCTGCCTCCATGTTCCCCACCACAATGGTCATAGACTAACCCTCTAGAACCATGAGGTTCCTTTAAACTTTCTTTAATAAGTTACCTTAGTGATGGTCTTTTAGCAAAGCATTAGAGAAGTAACTAATACACAAACAAAACACTCTTCAGCATAGAACACAAAATAAGTCTGCTTAAAACTTTCAAAGAAAAATAAGTGACTGTAATTGAGTCATAGATGTAGAACCAAGAATGTCTAAATTCGGGGTTCTAATTACAACAATTAGAGCCCTCCCCACCCAGGTACTATCTATTACTTCAGTTCTCCAAGTCTTGGAGTCCAAGTTCAGGAAAGTTAGTTTCTTAAGATAAATGTAAAAAACACCTTGGAAAACAACAATTCTAGACAACAGTGTTTTCTGTAAAGAGAGCAGCTAGAAAAACATATATATTTACAATCTAGAGACAAGAGAAGAAGGAATTTAAAAGTCTTCGAGAAATACAGCACACACAGAATTTTATACACGCGTATATGTGATATGAACTCAGCGGGGAAGATCATGAACATTCCCTCCATAGGCACAATAACAGACAACTAAACATCCAAAAAGTTCTCTGCTTAAACCACATATGTGACATAGACATCCTGGGGAAGAACCTGGAGCAAACACAGGGTCTCAAGTCTAGGAATCTAGAGAGTCATCCAACCGTATCACCACCTTGGCAGCTCGGTATCTCAACTTCTCATGTGTACCATTAGAAGTAAACCAGCACTCCCCTGCCATTGGGAAAGTCCCTCGGAGATACTCATCCAGAAACTGACCATATGCCCAATCTGGCAGTGACAACTAGAGGTCCTTCAAAGATCACTTTGCTAACAAAGAAATCCCTTAAGTCACGTGTTCCCAAAGCCGCTTACTTTTTAAATATCCTCTCTTAAATGAGAAAAGTCTGCTAACACCATGCATTGTCAATTGGAAACACTCCACATGCTCATGGGATTTCTCTCCACTGAAAGACAAGGTTATCTCACTTAAGGGAAAGAAAGCAGATATGTTTACATAGGTGCTTGAAGGTGAATCATATGTACCAGTATACATGTGCAGATATAAAGAATTGGAGCATCTGTTTGCCCACGTGTGCATGTTCTTTCTTTTGAGAGCCACGTGTGTGGTAGCTAGAATGAGAGCTAGGAGGTCTCCGCTGTAGGAAGACAGCTGCCTTCTGTATTTGGACGCTCACAAACATGAGTCATCTATCAAAGGAAGTGTAGGAGACTAAATGGAAGGATTTTTAATCAGAGGCGAGGGGTGCATTTTACCTAATAAAAAAGAACATAGAGAGACCCCGGCTGAGGCTAATGTGCATAAAAAATTCAGCCTGTCAGATCCTCACTTTTCTAATTCAGTAATCTAAATAATTTATTTGACATTTTAGCTCAAGATGACCTTTCTTGGGAAAAAATTACTGTTTTAAACTTTTAGCAAGTACAATCCCCAGCCCCAGAATCCCCACTGAAGACTGCATGTCCCCCAATGAGCAAAGGTTAACCTCGTACTGCTCAAACACATTGCTGACCCTTTTAAATGGCTCGCAAAATGTCATTTAATTTTTTAAACTAATATCAATTTATATTGCAATATTTGAGTTCAGTATTTGGCGGGGGTGGTTGTGGAGATGTGAGATTCCAGTCAGGTCTTACCTAGGAAAATTTAGGCAAATGATTTGTTTTAAGTAATAGAGTTATTAGATAGGGTTATGTGTCCCCACGGTTTGAATAAACAAATATACAAACTTGAAGTCTTGCAGGACATATTAAAGACCATACAGTGTTCTCCTGGAGGGTTAACAGCTGCTGAGGTGGTTGGTTTTTTGAGAAAAATCAGGTAAGAATTCCAGGTCCTCAAAGGAGCCGTGGGGTTTAGGGGATCAACCTTTGAGCCAAGCTCCTCAGCTGAAAACCCTAAGTCCCACAGTGTCCAGCTCATCCTTGGCTTCCATCCTAAGACAGTCTTCAATCAGCCTAGGAGATCAGAGGGTGACAGATGTCGTAAACAGATTGCTTGCTCATCCCTTCCACAAGCAGTTAGTGAAATCCCAACCTTTTCTCTCAAAAGCCATCCGAAAGCTTGCCAATGAATCAGAAACACAGAGAGCAAGGCGTGATGGTTACTGTGACGCTAATTGGATTTCCACTGTGCCCGAGAGCCGATCATTTCAACACTGCACCTTCTAAAGCTTATTGATGAACTGTAGAGATGTCGTGACACCTTAGAACCCAGATTTTCCTCCTAGCCACAGTGGAGCAGAATAGAATTTGATTCTCTAGCAGGATGAACACATCATTTTATGAAAATTTGTCCATTATTCCTGTTAAAAAGCAATATTGTTATTCGGACATGGGATGACTTAAATTCCTGTGGTATTTTCAAATCCAAATATTGT